TTTCAAGTCGCCCGCAAAAAGTGGACATGTTGCACCAACAACTACCAGTACGTACGTCGACACGCCCACGCTACATATATGCTCTTTAGACTCATTGACTGCTCCAAGCACCGCACGTACACCAGACTACTCGGAAGCTTCTCACTTCATGGCCTTACAGGACCCTGGGCCCTTTATCGCTTCTGCAAATGGACTCTATGCTTCACCATCCGTGAAAACTACAAATGCCCCCATCAGCCCAGTAGAACTCTCTCCTGGCACTTAATTGACTGACGGGGCACTTCCTCCAGCCAGAGCAGTGACCATAGAAGGCGCCGACAGCACTCGTTCTTGTCACAGACCCCCTGACCTGCTGTCTCTCCGCGTTACACCTCCGCCAAAATACGCCCTCGGACTCAAATATCTACTGTCAAGGCGGCGTAACGTAGAACACCCCCAAATACGCCCTGGAGAATCTATCCCTCGTTGTTATCAAGATAACCGCACCTTGCTTCGGCCTCATCATAACTACATGACAATTACACCAAACCACGCGTACCGCGAGTTTGATGAAACCTCACACCCGCATATACCAGCGGCCAGCTCAGGCCATTATGCGCCTCCGCCATCCTACACACCCACTTCCGTCCCAAGTATTGACAATTTTCGGACGCGATCCATCCCTGCACAACCACCGTTACTTTCTGCACCATGCCATTCTCCACACCTCCCGCCGATGAGAATGACTTCATTTCCCAAAACCCCTCCCAACCCCGACAACATATCAGCCTTCAAGTCATATACACTACCCCATAATGAACTTTATGCTCTGCCCTCTGCCGTGGATTCAAACCTGCCTCAACCACTACTCGCCCCCTACCCCCAATTGTGAATACACCTCGACCTAATCCGAACACATGTCTAGTCAACGCTACTTCATGTACCCTAACCTCCCCTAACGAATTCTCCCTAGTACCGAACTCCACCGTAAACGAAGTTACCAAATTCCTACTTAGTATGGTGAGCTCACAAACGGGCCTATCAATTATGCTTTTTAACGCCCGCTCACTGCTGCCAAAAATCCATACTCTACGTGCGATTATTGCTGTTGCGCAACCAAGTCTGATTTGTTTGACCGAAACCTGGTCCTCGGTTGACACTCCAGACGAGTTGGTCTCAATCCCTGGTTATAATCTCCACCGCTCTGACAGGAGGAACTCGAGGGGTTGAGGCTGTGCCATCTACTCCAACTCGGAACTTCGTGCAACTCCCCTTGATGATCCCAGCCTAGAAGGGACTCCAGAAACTACCTGGATCTCCATAGAACAGACCAAGCGACCTGTACTAGTAGGCTGTATCTATCTACCACCGCCCCC